TTGTTAGCATCCAACCCCGCTCCTTGGACATCCTTCTCAAACATCATCGTCCCTATTGCACGGTTTAAAAAAAAATTATTTGGCATACGAAAAAATGGATGTCGAAGATTTCTTCCTCGTCGACGTAAAACATTATCTTAGCCACATCACGGAAAAAGATATCAGAGATTTCTTCCCATCGATGTAAAATATTATCTTAGCGAATCACATAAAAAGTTTATCTGATCGAGTTAGTGAGCCTCTGACTTGCCAGCTCCGCTAATTTCATGAACTTTGCATTTTAAATTAAATGTCACTATAACTTCGGTATTTAATTTCACAGTATTGTTATCTTATCATACGATCCGTGTGTTTTTAGTACAAAAATTTAGTTGGCCGTAGCATCACACGGACACAAACCTAGTAATAACTATGTTCATAAGCAGTGTTCGAGAAAATAAACTCTCGTCATGCACAACCGCTCCACAGTCGCCGCCTCCGCCCGGTGCCGCGACACCAGAAGGGGCAACACGAAGGGCACGGGGCCAGTCGACGCGGGGCGGTGCATGAACCGAGCGCGATAAGATGGCCGCGTGCAGGTCTGTTCTTTTAAGCAAAGGGTATTTTAGGGCGTGTTTTATATCCCGTCCCTGCCCGGCATGGCCGGCTGCCCTGGCTGTGGCCAGCTTAGGCCTGGCTCCCATGGTGCAACCTTACATGTTTGTTTCACTAGACCAAATGAACCAGGCTGGATAGAGGCGTCCATGAACCGGCGAGGAACGGCAGCAGGTCCGGCACCACCCCGACGGAGCTTGAAGTCGACGAGCACGCTGCGGGCATTGCGCCTCGCCATGGACGGCAGCACGGCGCACCGCGCGTGCCCAGGGCGGAAGCAAGCTGCGGCGGCCTCCGGTCCATGGACGTCGTCACCGTCCCATGGCTCTTGTGGATGCTGGAGGCCAAGGCCGCGCCCGGAGTGCGACGTCGCGGCGCTCCTCACCGCGTTGAGCTGGTGCCCCGAAGGCGTTGCCTGTCACTTGCGGCCACGCCGAAATCACCTCGCCTCTCAGGAATTACCTCTCTCATGGCGACACGAAGATGGAGAGATGGCTCAGCTCCGCACTCGGCAGCAGGACGGGAGGAGCAAAGCGTCACCTAGCCCAAGCGCACATCCCTGCGTCTGCTTGCGTGCGTCGCGGGAGCTCTCCGTTGGCTTCGTCATCAGCGTCCAACTCTCCCTCGTCTTGCTGCCATCCGCCGTCCTGCTCGGTAGCGCGGCGGCGGCGCACGCGCAGCCCAGCTCGGCGGTGCGGCGGCGGCACGCCTGCTCGCAGCCCACCACGCGCGCGTAGCTTGGTGCGGCGATGGAGGTGGGTGAGAAACACGGAGTCGGGAGAGGTGACTCGATCTGCGCGTGGAGCCAGGTGAGGGCGGAAGCGAGCGGGCCGCCAGGAAACGAACCTCCATCTTCGCTTCCTGGGAGCCAGAAGAGAGAACACGATTTGCACGGGAGGAGCCTGGCTGGCTGGTGGGCCCGAGCTATCAAACACGTGAACTTGCACGCCGCGGGTGCAGCGAGGCCCACGACCACCCTTTCAAACACGCCCTGAGTTGTTTGGGAGAATTATCTATTTGTCCTGAAATAAACTAGTATTTTATATTTGGCACTAAAAATTTTGAACTTTCTTCTCTGGCACGAAGTTGGAATTTCTTTATGTAAATGGCACTTCCGTCTATTTTCACCGTCTATCAGTTAGTTGACTGGTTCGACCTCGTCAGTCTGGTTTCCGTATGTCCAATATACCCCTCTGTTACTCACACGTGTAATTTGGCCAGGCCCAGGATCCCGCGAGCTTCTTCCCCGTGCGGAGCCGGGCAGCAGCATGTGATCATGATGGTGGCGGGCGGGTTCGTGGGCCGGAGTTCAACCATACACGCAATGGTGGGCGGGTGGCCCTCCGGCCAACACGCGATGTGGCGGAGGTGGCGCGGCAGCCTCGCCCGGTGGTGGCGCTGCTCCTTGCGGGCGGAGGCGCGCGGCGGTTGTTGATGGCGACGCGGCAAAAGGTTGTTTGGTGGTCGGGCGGCGGCGCGCTGTGGTGACGATCGCCACACCCGCCGGTGAGCGCCTAGAACTTAGTGACGCCACCGCCGCGCAGCGCGCCCCGGCCGCCGAGAGCTCCTCCGCGCGCCGGTCCTTGAGCGCCTCAGCGTGTGGGCGAGAAGCTGAGCATGCACTTTCGCAACTGGGGCGGCGAAGCGGCGTCTCGATGTGCCCCGTGAGGTCGGGAACGGAGCACGACCGCGCGGCGTCGGCGTCGTCTGAAGCCGTCGGGGACCGGCGCTCCAAAGCAAAGGGCGTGAGCTGGGCGTGTTTGTGCTCCTCCGGCCCGAGGCCGGGGGGGGAAGAGAGGCCGTCGTCGCGAAGCTCGCCCATACGTTGATGAATCTCCATAAAGCGGTGCCGTCGGAGAGCTGCGTGGTTGTGGGCGGAAGCGAGGAAGACGACGTCGGTGAGTTCGATGACATGGACGAGGAACAACGGGAGGTGGTGGGCGTCGTGGTTGACGACGCCGTTGAGGGGAAAGAGGGATCGGCGAGGGCACGCACTCACGCCGCTTTGCTACTTGGCGTGTCTTTGGTGGCGTCGGATGTCTTTGGTGGCATCGGCCGCCGCGGATGGCGACAGGCTCCTTACGCCGCCGAAGTTCGCGCTATTTCGTGACGCGCCCGCGCTTTGCCGCGAGGCCGGTGGGCTCTACTACTAGAGCGCCAAGCTTCCCGGCAAGGACAGGATCTCGCCTAGCGGCCGTTCCTCGGATCCGGTGTCGCCAGTTGCGGCTTCTCCGCGACGCCGGGCTCGCCGTCGGTGACGAATATGGCTCGGCTCCCATTCCCCTCCTCCGAAGGCAAGCGCGCCTCTGACGCGCCATGTTGCCGCTCGCCTCAAGGAATCGGCGACCGCGGTGGATCTCAACTTCCGCTCCGCCTCCCGTTCGACCGCCCTTCATGACCATGTCGCCTTAAGGCCGTCAAAGACGTGGCCGCGCGCACACGCTGGCCACAAGACTGCTGCGGCACCGACAACTGCAAGGCGAGAATAATGGCGATTACTGCGGCGACGATGATGGCGACACCACCCCCCGGCGTGGGTAGCAACTTCGCCCACCAATGACGTCTCCTCCCGAGTCGACCATCAACGGAGAGTGAGTGGCCTACTACTTGACGGCGACGGCGTGTTTCGAAACCGACGAGTCAAGGTCACGATGAACGCGAGAAGCGACCTTGCGCGCAGCAGTTAAACATGCGCGTATAGCGACAACGTGCGTGCTCCAAACGCCTACTACAAACAAGGGCACTTACGTCATTTTGCAAGCCACTTAACATCGTTACAGGTGAAAATAGACGGTAGTGCTATTTACGGAAGAAAATTTCAACTTGGTGCCAGATAAGAAAGTTCAAAATTTTTATTGCCAAATATGAAAGACTAGTTTGTTTCAGTACCAAATAGATAATTTTCCCTAGTTATTTTGGATAGCCTGGAAAAATAAAAGAGATTAATGAAAATGCAAACGTGAAGAATCCTTTGAATCAAAAAAATTCATCTGCACGTGCTCAAATTTTAGTCATGTTTTTCTCTTTAACTTCCTTCAGCTTGCTGCAAAGCCGCAGCAGCTGCAGCTGCTTATTTTGTATAGGAGTCTGTTGCTGTGTGAGTGGGTGCTGCAGCTGCAGCCACAGCGGATGCAGCAGGAAGCACAAACGAACGGTCCCAAATTTTGGGTGTGATTTTTTTTTTGAATTTCCTTTGGATGTGAATTAAGTGTGAGTCCTGCGTATTCTCGATTTTTCTCTACGCTGCACCCCTACCCTGCCTTGTCTTCTTTCATCACCGCAACTCCCCTAAACCACCTGCTTCGAGAAAAAACAAACAAACAAACCTCCCCTAAACCACCGACGACTGGGCCGGCCGTCGCTGCCACCGTACTTCGCCACCTTCGCCGGCGACGAGCACCACCAGGTATGCCCTCCCCTTGGTCTTCCCTTCCTGCTGTGCGAAGCCGTGCGCCCAAACCTTAACGTAATCCGTAGGTACGCCCTCTCCTTGGCCTTCCCTTCCTGCTGTGCGAAACCGTGCGCCTAAACCCTAGCATACTTTTTGTATTCGGATCTGAATCTAATTACAAGTGTATATGCATGTATTATGCCTACTAACTTCGATTGCTTTGCAAAAAAATATCGGGTGTACATGTGTACACCCATGTCCTTTACTGGGTCCGCCCCTGCATTCAGGGCTGGTGTTAAATATAATCGATTTTATCCCACAATTAAGAAGTCAGAATGTCTGTTTCGTGTGACTGCTTTTGTAACATTTTTCTTCTTTAGTGGCAATTTCATGTGGAGTGTCTGCAAACTTAGACCACTAAGGGTTGGTTGATTCTGAATTCCCCCAAATCTTTTATCCCCTCCTTGCCAGTAGTTTGATGGAGGTTGGTGTAGGAATTTTCACCCCTCTCGAGCTTCTAGCATATCCATTTGTCTTATTGCTTAAATTCTATATTGGAAATCTGTAGTTGCAGCTAAGCATTTGAAGTGAAGTATTCCATGTATTGCTATGTGATGTCAAATTAGTGGGGAACTGTGTATTAACTTTTGGGTAATTACTGCTTTGTTAGTAACATTATCAAGCTAGTTGCCTCGCAGATTGCTATATCAGAAATACTTCAATCCGTGCTCTTATATTCATGGTTAATCACCGGATAACGACATGTCATATTTCTGTTTTCAGTATATTATTTCAATTAGTAAGCTCATGTTTCCATAGTTCATTAGTTATTGTCCACTGCATTTTGTCTTATTGTTAGTTCTGAACTTTTGTGCTAAGTAAAAGAGTATCTACCGTGAAAGCAAATCATCAGTGTTCAACTTTGCTGTAACAACTTTGATAAAATTAGGCTTAATTGTGAACTTACTCCTGTCAGATTTGGTTTTGTCCTTGCTTGAATCAAGTGTGGCCTATAATGTCTGATGATGATGATGATGGAGTGGAGCCACAAATTGAGGATGTCAATGGATACTACTTTGAGGATGGTGAAGGGGAACCTGTTTGTTTCAGTATCTTGCCTTTCCAGTTTGGTGAGAATGATAACGACGCAGATTTCTCCAGGAAGAATGTTTTTTTGCACGGATTTGCGGATAAAAGTCTTCACGTGTACAAGGAGGTGGTAGCTTGGAAGATGAGGCTTGACAGTGAGCAGCCCAACATCTATGTGCTTTCTATTCAGCACAAGTGGATAAAGCTGTTGAAACCACGAAAATGCTATGGAGAGTTCGTTCGCTCAATATTGATTACGGTGCAAATGCTCCACTTTGTTCGGAGAGGGGGGCAAAGAAGTTCTTTGAATCACCTTTGGGATCACCTTGATGAAGTTTTTGGGTATCCATCTACATGCTTACTTTGTCTTTGCCCCTCTGAGTATATGCTTATAATGTTTATTCGTTTGTCTTTTGAAGTAAATACAATCCTAAACCTGCGGTGGATGACTTGATGAAGCACCATACCCTAATCAAGTTGTTTGTAGAGAAAGATCAAACATTGATGAAGTCAAAGGTACAAGTTACTTCACCCTACTACCCTACTTCCTACTCCCTTTCTTTTTTGAGGGAAATACATACAGTAGGGGAGAGCCCATGTATTGCCTTTGAAAGCATGGTAATTTAATTTCAAGTTGAAACTATACATCATCAACTAGCATTACCACCCTCAGTTTGTTTGCGTGGAAGTTTTTATATAATTTCGTCATTGCCTTGAATAATGGACCTTATTGATTTTTCAGAGTCATGAGACTAGTTAGATGAGTGGCATGCACTGATTTTTCTCTTCTTTTGTATATATGCAGATTCTGCAAAGGCTTATTGAGAATGGCTTTGAGAGAACTAAAAAGGTATGCTAAGATCTAATATTTTAGCTTTACAAACAACAGTGAGAATCATGATGTGGGCATATTTGTGAAGAGTGATAGGAAGAAGAGATGTTGTGGGACACTTTCATTTTATTTCCTAACTTAGTTGCTGGGCTGTGAAACTTCACTGACGCGTCAGCAACTTGTATGGTGAAAAAATTGTTGGGGGTTATTCAAGAAAGCTTTCATAGTTCATGGTTGAGACTTGAGAGTCAGAGTTTTTTATAGTCATGAAATCAGATTGATTGGGAGGTTCCAAATTAAGTTAGATGACCTTTATCGCTCAAATGTATAATGTGAACTTCTCTTGTTACTATGTTCCCATGTTCATTCTACTCTGTCCAGTACAAATAAGTGTCTATTTGGACACCGACTTAGTCCCCAAAATAGAACTTTGACTATTTCTTTAGTACATTTGTTACAAAGGATAGCAAAAGTATAGTGTTATTAAACTATTTTGTGAGACACTACTTATAATATTTTTCAAATACCCAAACTAAGTACATAAAAAGTATTTTGTAATCAGAGGTTGAAATGGTTGAATGCACGCAACCCAAAATGACACTTATTTGACTAGAGGGAGAATTTCAAAAATATATTTATTAGGGTTTCTCATGTTTCACTTTTCCTTTGAATGAGCCTATTTTAAAGGCCTTAGGTCTGGAAGCACAATTCATTGTTAGTGGTGGGCGGCGTGTTAGAAAAAATGATGATAACAATTATGGTAACAAAGATGACAGTGGTGATGATTGCGATGACTGTGATGGTAGCAGTGATGATGGTGATGACAACAGTGATGATGATGATGATGATGAAAGCAGTGATGATGACGGTACTGATCAAATATGTGCGATATGTGACGATGGAGGAAAATTGCTTAGGTAGGTGCACAAAAATGACTGTATGTGCCTTTTATTCCATTTCTTGTACATGTGCTCCATATCTTTGTCCATGCCATGATCAAAATTATAAACCACTTGCCACTTGGATCAACACCTTTATCGCTTGCATGAAATATGGTTGCTAACAGTATGAGAAGGTTAACACAAGGGGAAATAAGGTTAACGTTAAAGAGATAACAGAAGCGAAAGGTAGCAGACAAAAGAGAAAGGGGAAGATAGATGACAGTGGCCACTAATTCAGCCTAATTGCAACTAGATCAACCTTGCTTAATCCTTCTAAGCCTCATTCCCTAATCATGGCAGTCTCTCTTAAATTGTCTCCCAATTTGAACACAATTGGTATAAGTGAGCTATGGACAAAGATGCAATGAAGAGTGGATCCAAGAGCTGTGAACCGCATATGAGGCGGACTGGGATGCCACATCTAAGTTTGGGTGTTTCAACTTTCAAGATCCCTTGTGCCTCTTATTTACACTGTCAGTTCATAGGCTATGAGTTATCTCCTTGAATTTGTACAAGATGAATTTACTTTATGAAGTTTCACATTAAGGGTTTGCTTCTGGGGTAAATGTGGAAATCACACTGAATTACCTATATGACCAGTGAGTGGAAGTTTTGATGAACCATAACAAGGAAAAACGCTTATTACTTTCTGCATGCAAGTGACAGATGGGGATGTATTCCACTATATCCATGGTTCACTGTGTGTTGTAGCATATAAAAGTTTCTTTCTGTAAGCTCTTGTTGGCTTATTAAATCAGTTCGATTATACACTTTGATTCTTACAACGATTTAATTCAGCTGTGAAGGTCCATGCAAGAGGTCTTTCCATCCCGCAGAGAAAGATGGCAGAGAATCTAAATGTGAAACTCTTGGTTACACTTCAGCAGAAGTAAAGGTAGCTTCTTGAAGTTTTTACTTAATGGTGCTGCCAGCCTTTCATTTTCCTGGCTTGAATCAGTGACATGTCACTTTTGTTTACAGAGAATTGGCACTTATCTATGTGCAAACTGCAAAAATAGGCAACACCAATGTTATAGATGTGGAGAGCTTGAGCCATCCCATGGGCCAAATGCTAAGGTATACTGAAGCCACTAAGCTTAGTAAATTATTTTTTTCATTTAAGAGAATGCACTTTTTTTTCATGAACATGGAGGAGAGCTGTGTATCATTATATGAAGAGATATAACCGAGTAGAGAAACCCTTACAAAACATACACTAGCACCCCATCACTCTCGAACAACTAGATTGCCCATGGTACAACACAAAGCACTACCACAACCAGGAGGAAAAAACACCTTTGAGTCCCCTCAAGAGACAAGGCAGCTAGATAAGCAATGCCTTTAGCCCCTGCCAAACCCCATAATCTCATCTCCTCAACAGCCAACAGTTATGCTCTCAAAATTTGGTGAGGTCCCATAAAATACACAGCGATTAAGATGATTCCGAATGGTCCAAGTTTTGAGAATTATAATAGAATTTAGACTTGCCAAAACCTGTCATCAAAGGAAGACTCCCCTGGCTGTGGGGATTTAAGACAATGCACTTACTTGCTGGCAAAGAATAATGTTGCTTGTTTCCTATTATGGTCTTCCTATTTTCTTATTTTATTTTATTTTTTAATTTTAGCATTCCCTCCCATTTCATGAAATGCCTGAAGGGCGGGCCTGGTGCAAGTAGTAGAGTCTTACCGCTTGTGACCGGAAGGTCCCGGGTTCGAGTCGCGGTCTCCTCTCATTGCACAGGCGAGGGTAAGGCTTGCCACTGACACCCTTCCCCAGACCCCGCACAGAGCGGGAGCTCTTTGCACTGGGTACGCCCTCCCATGCCATGAAATGCCAAACTAGTGTGGAAACAAAAGCTGATATTATGGCATTGGGCCTTTGCAGTGGCACATGGCCAAGCACAGCAGCATATGCATGGCAAGGCAGTAGCCGCATGGTACACATTACAGTTATTGTTAGCTATTTAGAGCTTTAGATAGATATATGGATTGTATGGCTTAGAGACATGTGACTGGCCTAACGGATTGCACATTGTTTAGTTTGGTTGTTAGGGGTGCAGCCTATTTAAGAGGCATTCATGTATTGGTGTGGGTAAGCAACGTATGCCCTCATGTACTGCCCAGCAACATTCTTCTCTCTTCTGAATATCCTTATCCTCAGCCACTCTCTTCCTATATTTTACTACCTCCGATCCAAATTATAGGTCGTTTTAGCTTTTTTAGGAACTTAGTCTTTGCTATGCACCTAGATATATGTTATGTCTAGATACATAGCTTTTACTCCCTCAATTCCAAATTATAAGACGTTTTGGATTTTGTAGATACATGACATTTGCTATGCACTTAGATATACACTATGTCTAGGGGATATTTAAATATTTGCCACCCTTACGGTTGGCTCCTACTAACTTGCCAGCTTTAGAATATGAATTATAGATTTGCCATCTGAATTGCTCTGGTGCTAAAGATTTGTCTATTTTGAATTCGTGGCAGTACAGGTCATCATGCCACGGTGAATCGGTCGGGAAAAAAGACGTCCATGCCCCTTAGGCTGTTAGGACAGCCAGCTCTAACCAGCCACCGTGCTAAAAAAAAGCCACGTGCTCCAGCTCCAACCAGCCAACCAACGTGCTCTACATATATTTGCTACAGGAGGCAGTCTACAGTAAAAATTCGACATGATATATGCTAATCATGGTCACAAATTTGCATACATATATTAGTACATAAATTCGACAACCACTGTACATTAAAAATCAGCATCATCATGGCCACACATGAATTGTACCAAATATATATATGAAATGTACCGTGCACAGCAAGCACATTAGCTAAAAGAGACCACTGATGTCTAAGTTTGGTCATAACATCCATACATAGAATCATTAAACAGGTTCTAGGCGACACATAGCTAAAGCAATGACCATTTAACAGTTCTGACCAACAAAATTACATAAGGTGCCATTTATCAGGTTCTGGTCGACAAATATAGAGCACTAATGCCATTTAACAGGTTCTGGCCACAATGCACACTAGGAATCCACAAAAGTCATTGTTTTTCATCTCCACGGCCTTGGCTTGTCTTATGTTTTCTTGATCTTGGAGGCCAGCTGCTTCCTCCTCGGAGTCATCTTCTTGGGCACGGCCTCCACAACTTGTAGCTCTCCTTCTGAAAGAGGTTCAGCTGCACCCAACAATAATCTCCTGAAAAAAATAGAAAGTGAGGGGTGTTTACAACAGCAAGCAGTGCACTGGATGTTTACAAAAATCCTAGTGATTATACCTCCTAGTGCTTGGACCTGATGGGGTGCTTGGACCTGATGGGGTTCCTGGAGCTGCTAGCTGAACCTCTATAGGCACAAGTTCAACAGGGAGCTCTCTGTTGGCTGCCCTTGCTGCTGCTTCAGCGGCTTCCATAGCTGCTGAAGCTCTGAGTTGAGCTTCTTCTGCCTCCAGCCTTGCCCTCACTGCAGCTTCCCTTGCTGCTGCAAGCCTTGTCCTAGGAGTGGCTTGTTTAGGAGCAGGGATGTCCCCTGTCTTGCTCTTCTTCCTCCCAGGCTTCACACTAGTCTTCTTAGTTCTCTTCCTACAAGCAAAAAAGTGAAATTTTTAGCACATTACAGCAACAGCAATAATAAAGAAAAAATGTGTTGCTCCTACCTTTTCTTAGTTCCTGTCAAGCTACACCTCCAGCTACCTTGCCTGTGCCCATGTTCACCACATCCTTTACATAAGGCTTGTCTGGTTGCCTTCCCACTTCTCTCAGCTGGTGGTTTGGCCCTGTTTTTCTTTTGCCTGCCTGGCCCTCTCTTTTTCGCAATTGGAGGATGCAGATGAAATCCCTTGTTTACTTCAGGCCACTGAGATTTGTCTGTAATATTTGCTACTATTCCATCATAAGCAGCTTGGAACCTCTCAACAGAGTAGTAATTGTCCACATAGCTGCCCATGTTTGGCTGCCTTACGCTTGTGATGACTGCTAGTGCATGTGGACAGGGTTTTCCAGTAACTTGCCACTCTCTGCAAGTACATGCCCTCTGAGTTAAATAAACAACATGTCTTCTGACATCTTCATCCTTATACATCTCAGTCACTTCAGTTTGCTCAGGATGGCCTTTGGTGATCTTCAGGTGGCTCAGACCCTTGGAAGCTGCATTGAGTTGGTGAATTACAGCAGGCAGTATTCCAGGTGATAAGGCCCTGGAGATCCTCCTCCTCTTGGCAAAAAGTATCACTAACCTCTCCCTTATACCATCTACCATGCAGTGAGGAGGCAAATCCTTCAAGTCCTTCACCCAAGCATTCCAACTCTCAGCAAGGTTGTTGTTAATGTAATCACATTTGATGTCTGCACTGAATTTACTTCTTGCCCACAACAAACTGTGATGGTCATCTAGCCACTTTGTTACTCCTGGGCTTGCTGCCACAACCTTATCAAAAAAGTACTTGAACCTGTGTGGAGAGTAGGCTCTTGCTGCAGGCCACATATTTTTTGCATAAACCTCTCCAGTGTAGTACTTCTTCATGTTCTCCATCAAATGTCTAAAGCACTCTCTCTGCTCAGCCCATGGAAACACTTGCTTGACTGCAGCTTCAAGCCCCTTGCATGCATCAGTGCAAACAGCCAACCTAGGCAGGGGCCCTATTGCTTTACCTAGCTGTTCCATGAACCATGTCCAATTTTCTATGGTTTCAGTGTCAAAAAAACCAAATGCTAGTGGAAACATCCAATTATGCCCATCTAATGCTAAAGCTGCAGGCATTTGTCCATTCCACTCTCCAGTTAAATGTGTGGAATCTATACTAATGTAAGGCCTGCAACCATATAAGAATCCATCTATGCAAGCCTTGAAGGCACAAAAAAATCTAGTGAAGTGCACTTTCCCATCAACTGTGACTGTGTCTATCTCTACAACACTGCCAGGTGACCTCAACTCTACCTCGGCTTTGAATCTGTACAACCAATCATAAGAATCAGACCACTTACCAAATAGTTTGTCTGCTGCTCTCTGTCTCCCATACCACACAGTTTGGTAGCTTGTCTCAATTTTGTACTTGTCATCAAGAAACTCCTTAACTGCAGCAGCCCCCATACTTGGTTTTTTCTTCAATAGAGGTATAGCTTTCTGTGCAACCCAACCAATAGAAGCCATGTTGGTAACAGCCCTATTAGTTGATGGACACTTGTGGACACCACTGTTGATCTGAATCTGCACAACAAAACATACAATGTTAGAAACCAACTCAAGTCAAAAAAAAAAAAGTATGCATGAACAGCCAGCTGCCTTACAAAACAAAATAATTGGTTCAAAAATGTACCCTGACACTCTTATCACGTTGAGTCCTAGCTCTAATAATCCAAGGACAGCCAGCTGCCTTGCAAAATCCCCTGAACCTCTTTTTGTCAGACTTCTCTGTCCCAAGCTCAAAATCTTTAACAATGGCATGTTGCCTTACTGCCATCCTAAAGTCATCCATACAGGGATAGTATATGCCAACTGACATATCCGGAAATTCCTTATCCCAATCTTCCATAGGCTCAGTAGGAGCTGTGTCATCAACAGTAATTGCAGCATCTTCCATCTCTCTTTCAAGTTCCTTAGAGATGGTAGGGATAGGAATTTCCTCTCTAGCAGCTTCCTCGGCCTTCTCATGAGCTTCCTGGAACCCCATTGCCTCATAAACAACATCCTCATCAGCTATTGCATTTGCCTCACCATCCTCAGCTTCCTCTTGGATGATAGTCAATGTAGCCCAGTCTACTGGAACTGCCTCATCACCATCCTGTGCTGGAGATGTACAGGTATCAGCCATTCCTTCTGAATTAGCTCCAGCATAAGAAGCATCAACATTGGTCACATCAGACATAGGAATACCACTGTTGTTTGTCTCATATCCATCCTTAGTAGTAACCTCAACAGTAATATATGCCATCCTTTCCTCCCATTTCTCCTCTATCATTTTCTGCCATTGCTCATCCCTTCTAATTTTCCATTCAGAGCCACTATCACTGTCCAAAACCCAAATTGACAATGTCTGGCTTGGTCCCCATATAATCTTCGTAGCAATTTTATCATGAAACTGAGCTAGACTGTACCCAACACTCCTATCTAGCCACAACTCATGTTCTTGGTCAACAATTTCAACAAGCCCATCATATTCAAGCACAGCAGTGTACTTAACGATTTTAACAACTAGCCTAAATGCATTGCCAGGTTCGATCCTGGCATTAATGTAAACATAAAAACATTGCATTGTTAGCCAAGTACCCCATGTAACTCAGTCCAACTGTCTTCCCTACAGTGAAAATAGAGAGACTCACCAAGGGGGGCAGCCATCAGGTTCTATGGTCATAGATCAGGATCCAGCGCCTGCTACATCACCCACCTACAAACCAAAATTGCACTAAAAATCAACGTTCAACCCTAACCCTAGCTCGGTAAACAAAGGCAAAATAAGAGGGCCAGCGAGGGGCGGAGGGTGGGGGAAGTGCGTGGTCAAACCTGCTTGGGTTCGGGGTTGTGGAAGTGCAGATCGGGGTCAACTTCCGGCCACCATCCTGCAGCCCACCTCGCCGTACCAGCCGCTGCAGCCGAGAGCAGGGGCGCGGGAGAAGAACGGGGAAGAGAGGGCGCGGGCGACCGGCGAACGGGAGAGGAGGAGGATTCGGGACGGACGAAGGGCTCGGCGCCGGTCGCGCGGGGCTTCTCCTCTGCCCGTCGCGGGATTCCGGGCGACCGCGAGCGGACCTGCTCCCCTTTCCGTCGCGGGTGGAGAACGGGGGAAGGGGACGACTCGAGAGGCGACAGGACCGGGATGAGAAAAAATAGAGTGGAGGATAGGGAGGTCTTTTTCCTAAGCCAATCCACCGTGGCAAGCTGAGGTGTACTGCCACGACGTTAAAACGGGCAAATCTGTAGCACCATCGTGATTTGGGTGGCAAATATATAATTGCCGTTCTAAAGCTGGCAAGTCCGTAGGAGCCAATCGTAAGGGTGGCAAATATATAAATATCCCTATGTCTAGATACATAATAAAAGTAATGTATCTAGAAAAACCAAAACGTCGTATAATTTGAAATGGAGGGAGTACTATGCATTTAGAAAAGCCAAAATGACAGCGGAGGGAGTACCTGCTAATTCTATTTTGGTCCTAATCAGTAGCGTACATTCTGTTAGGTGTTTCAATGCAATCAAGCATCTTGTGGATATTTTTACCACCCTAAGTGCATTGCACAATTACTGGATCCTAATGCCACTGATGGAGCTTGTGAGTTGGAAAGAAGGATTATGGCGGGGATGTCATTTCCATGCCCCATACATTGGTGTTTCAAATGTGGACGCATGGAGAACAAGACTCAAAGAGCACTTCAGCTTGCAGTGTGTAGGCGCTGTCCAAGAGCATATCACAGGGAATGTCTTCCAAGGTACTGTTCATCAGGATTGGTTGCTTAGAGTGTTTAGTTTGTATAGTTGTTCTGTTCTTATGCGTCTAATGTATATTTTAGGGAACTATCCTTAGGAGCAAAGGACAAGGATGTTAACCCACGTGCTTGGAAGCTTTCCAAAACAATTTTCATCTACTGCCTGTAAGTTATTCCTGATTTGTTTCCCAATATTTTTCTGCAATTGCTGCTCACAGCATTTGAGTTCTGTTAAATATCTCGCAGAGATCATGAAATAGACAAGGATACTGGCGCAGCTAGTAGGAACCATATAAAATTTCCAGCTACACCTGAATGCACCAAAACAAAAGAGCTTGGTAACAGCAAAGGCAGGATGACTGGCAAAAGGAGAAAGAACACTGACCAATCAACAAAACCTACAGAATTGTCAAACTGGTTGTGTGGAGCAGAAAGTGAGCAAGCTGACAATGTAGGTGCAAAAAGTACATCACCCCAGATTGTTGTAGAGCCTCACTGTGCAGCAAAGCTCTTGAAGGGTGATCCACAAATTGAACAATCTATTATTGGTGTTGCTGCTAGTCAAAATGGTGCAGAAACTATGAAAGGGCATGAAAAACAATTTGGCATTTCATCTTGTGTTCCAAGTACTGAAACAGAGAAGAGGTAGCTCACAATGTCCCTTTTCACCTGTTTTTTATACTTTTGCCTACAGAATATACAGATTAATTTGCCATTACGTTTCAAAAAAAATACAGATTAATTAAAATTTTCAATTTGTGACTTCAAGAAGCCTTAGTTCTTATATTTTCACTGGCCCTAATGTACAACTACTAATCTTTTCTTTTGTAGATCACTTTTTGGTTGCTGTACTGTTCTTATTCATTCTTTCTGTGGTGTAGCTCAAGTGGTAATATGCCACAAAAGTATGACTAACAGTTGACAGGGATCTGTTGGTTTTCCATTTCAGGGTAACATGTTTGGCAGGGACACCATATGATGGGCCATCAACCAAGGGCATGTCTGATTGTTCTGTTCAGGTGCTTAAAGACTAAGACAACTACCCTATTAATAACTGCAAATTGTAATCTGGTCGTACATCTGTACAGAAAAACATGTTTTATGTCAACCGATTGGAAATCTTGTTGCAGGACACCCCTGTGGACAAGGATGTCGAGTTGGATAATGTGGCCTGCAGAATCACGGATGATAAATATGCCAACGGAAGAGATAAAACACAAGAGGACTATACTAGAAAAGAAACTGGCCACCACAAAGACTCGAGTGAAATTCAAGGGCAGAATGATGTGCTAGAGCTAGACAACCTCTGGGTGGAGATACAAGCTGATGGAAGTCCATTAGAACCAGGAAACAAGGAGGAAAATGCATATGGACTCGGATCAGCTTCGGGACAGGAGAAAGAAGCCTCCTCCAGGAGAGAAAATACACGGTCAGATAGAGGGATGGTCCCCATGAACGACAGTAAAATAATTGATTACAGGAAGGGTGGGACGACAGTAGATAATGTTGCTGACCACTCTTCAGAAGGAAGCTATTCGTACCAAGGTGAATGGAGTCGTTCTAAGTGCAATGATGGTCTTGTAGCAATAGACCAGGATACATCAAGTGACAGGTCGAAAAAGAGAAGCCCACCTGTGGAAAATGCATCTGATGGCAACAAAACAGACTTGGATAAGAACAAGAAGCATAATCTCAGAGAAGATGGAAGAGAGACTCATTACGAAGATAGGAGAACTGAAAGGAATACAGCAGCAGACACATCTAGATACAAGTGCAGAGATAAGACCGAATCAGATCGAAGAGAAGAAGAGCCTGTGGGGAGAAATACTCGAACAAGTTCAAGGGAACATTCACCGGAAAGGCAAAGGATGGACCGCGGTGACAGTTATCCTGGAACCTATAATAGACAAAGATGTGAATCGCTGCACAGTGTTAATTCCCCAAGAAGTGGTGATGACAGGAGGCAGTTGAGTCCATGCCAGTCATCATTTCCTTTACCTGAATTTGGTGGTGACCATTCCCATTTGTACCCGAGAGATTCTCAATACAGAACCAGCGGGAGGCATAATCCCCCCCAATACCTGGGAATACCTCAATATAGACCCTACACGGCTGCCAGCGTGGCTGAACATTCAGCAGTGTGTTATCGGCTTGCTGGTGGTCACGGAGAGGGATCACGGGCTTCACGGCCAGTTACGGACAAGTATGCCCCACACCTTGACCGCACAAACTATCAACCAAGAAGCCAAAGTGACCTACAGCTACAGGCTTCACGGCCAGTTACGGACAAGTATGCCCCACACCTTGACCGCACAAACTATCAACCAAGAAGCCAAAGTGACCTACAATATGACCTGCGGCTTGTTCAAGCACTGCACAACAAGAATCTATTCTGAGTAGTTTAACTGATGATGTACTGTTCGCTTGATCGTATCAGCCATGTTTACAGTGTTTTTCTCTCACAACAAAAACAACATCAGCCGACTTATAAGCCATAGAAACGTTCAAGCGAACAGGACGGAACACTTAGGATGGTGGTACCTTTTGCTGTTGTCGGAAATGCTTTCCTGAGGGCTGTATGATATTCCTGGCTCTCAGTACGGTATGCATTATGTTGAGGGCTGTATGATATTCCTTGCTTTCTTGAAGGCTAAAAGATATTCCTAAACGTCCATCAGATGTTTTACTGGGGAATGGGTCTTGTTGAAACCGAAAGGATGAGTCCTTTATGATGCCTTGCAGTTGCTTGCTTTGCCTCATGTGCCTTATGCTCTCGTAATCGCTGCATGTAATTTCACATAAGCAGCTGGATTCTTGAGTTTTGTGGGTGGTGCATTTGTAACTATGGGCAGCTGGATTCTTGAGTTTTGTGGGTGGTGCATTTTGTAACTATGGGTCATTCGCATGTCTCGAATTTTGGAGGAATCTAGATGGTTTGAAGGAATCTTTGGAGGAATTTGTGAGAGAGAAAAATCATTAGGATGAAAAATAAGCGGATCAAGCCGGGTTTAAAGACGCTTTGACGGGGCCTATATATATACTAGACGATGCCCCGTGTGCTGTTGCGGGGTTTTGTTGCATTGGCTTGAAGCTAGAAATAGTGAAATCGTGAAAGTAAATATAAATTTTTTTATTAGGTTCCCCTGTTCTCGCCTTGTCGTTGGTCACTGGTTCACCAAGAATTATAAATAAATTGAAGTAAGCATCATTGCTAACATTAAGACAGCTGAAAATGATGAAATACAGAAACTACACATACGCATGGAAGTCGGAGGAAAGTAGTGGGGGGTCTGGGTGCTACAAAATGGCAAAATTTGCTAGGAGACATCGTTAAAGTATAGCTTTTGCCACAAACCACTAAAAAAGTCTGGCTTTGCTAAAAAACACTATAAATCCTTGCTAATATGCTATAAGACACTCAAGCCATTATTTTATCTGATTTTAATAGGCAGACACTGAAGTGGCGAATATGCCCTTGCCCTTTTGCCTTAACCTTTCTCTTCTCCGCAACTTCATTCGCTCGCAGCCTCGCATGGAAAAAAGGACGAGAGGCCACGGCGGCGTGGCGCACCCTCTCCACCGCCGGCTGTGCCTGCAATTTTCGACAGCGGCGTCGTCCCGCGCGGCGAGCACGTGGTTGGGCGGCGCAAACGATGCGGCTGCGCGGCGAGCAGTCGAGCACGTACGCACGGCCGGACGGTGGGGACGCGGGCTTCGCGGCGAGCACGTGGCAGGGCGTGGCAGCGGCACGGCAAGCACGGGCGCATGCCCATGCGGCAAGGACGGGAGCGGGCCTCCAAGGCAAACACATGGCCGGGCGCCGCAGCGGCACGACGGGCATGGGCGCACGCCTAGGCGGCGAGGACAGACTCAATCTTCGCGGTGAGCATGCTGTCGGACATCGCGAACGATTTAGTGGTGTGGAGAGACCGTGGCTGGGAGGCAGGATCGGCGTGGCAGCGCGGTGCAGAGAGCATGGACGTGTTAGACCCAACATCACCTAGAGTAGCATCTAGTCGGGTGGTTCTTTGTATTTGGGATAAACAAGTAGTAAGCTTAATGAACCGTACTACAGAGTGATAGAGAGAGGAGAGTAGATGGGAGTGTACAGACCATCGGAGGGCGCCGTCGAGGAGGATCCGGCCATCTCGTTCGGTCGGTGAAGCTCTGCGCACGGACAGCGATGGTCGGAGAAGAGTTGGTGAAATCCGGTGATGCAGTGGCGGTGCAGAGAGGCCGACGGTGATGATGGTGGCGTCTTCCTGTCGCTGGCTGCGCACCCTGGGAGATCGGACCTAGGGTTTGTTGGTGGGGCGGAGTGGCTCACGGTGAACCTCGTACGATGAGCCGTCGGCCCTCACCACTTTATATAGCGCAGTGCGACGGGGGCCCACCAACCATGTAGGGTTGGGCACCTCCGATCAGGGCGCGTGACCAAGGCCCAATAGGCCGTTGGGCTTATTGGCTGGGAGATCATTCCAACATTCTCCCCCTTAATCTCACACTATTACTTTAATCTTTAAACTTTAAACTTCAATCCTCTTCTCCTTTCTCATTTCTTCACAGATGATGCATAGAGCATGTTTTATCGTCACGGTCAATTGCCGATAGATTTAACAGCTACAATGCACGTCTCTGATCTGAAATAGATACTTTAACTTTTGAGCCCTTTATAGTCTAGGAATCATAGACTTTCTCTTAAACCCATGCCGGCTACATGTTCTCTGAACACGTTGGGTGGTAAGCCTTTTGTAAGCGGATCCGCGAGCATCTTTTCGGTACTTATATGCTCAAGACTTATCATTTGATTCCGGACTCTATCCGTCACAACATAATACTTTTATGTCAATGTGTTTGGCAGCACCACTTGACCTATTATTGTGAGCATACTGTACTGCTGGATTATTATCGCAGTATAACTTCAGTGGTCTATTGATGTCGTCAACCACTTTCAAACTGGGTATGAACTTCTTTAGCCAGTTCACCTGCCCCGTTGCCTCATAACACGCTACAAACTCGGCATACATTGTGGATGATGTAGTGACGGTTTGTTTTGAGCTTTTTCATGAAATAGCTCCCCCTGCGAGAGTGAATACATATCCAGACGTGGATTTTCTATCATCTCCCGCATAATCAGAATCCGAGTACCCCACCAATTGGAGAGATTTTGATCTTCTATACGTCAACATGAGGCCTTTCATACCTTGCAAATATCGCAAGACTTTCTTTACCAATTTCCAGTGTTCCATTCCTGAATTACTCTAAAATCTGCCAAGCAACTCGGTAACAAAAGCTAAGTCAGGGCGCGTACACACTTGAGCATACTGTAAGCTTCCGATAGCTGAAGCATATGGAACCGCTTTCATTTGATCGAGCTCGTACTGGTTCCTGGAGCATTGAAAATCCCCATATCTGTCGCCCTTGACTATAGGAGCAGGCGATGGACTACATTTATGCATACTGAATTTCTTTAATACTTTTTCTATGTATGCCTTTTGTGACAGTCCTAATACCCCATTTCTTCTATCTCGGTGAATTTCTATGCCCAAAACATATGAGGCTTCACCAAGGTCTTTCATGTCAAACTTTGAGGACAAAAATTTCTTTGTCTCCTGCAGCAGACTCACATCACTACTAGCAAGTAGAATGTCATCCACATACAGAATGAGGAAAATAAATCTCCCATTCTTAAACTTTGCATAAATGCAATTGTCCTCAACATTCTCTTTAAACCCAAAATTCTTTATTGTTCTGTCAAACTTCAAGTTCCACTGTCTTGAAGCTTGCTTCAATCCATAAATGGATTTCTTTAGGCGGCAACCCATTCTTTCCTTTCCTTTTACAACAAAACCTTTTGGTTGTGCCATGTAAACATTTCCCTCTAAATCTCCATTTAGGAATGCCGTTTTTACATCCATCTGATGTAATTCTAAATTATAATGTGTCACTAATGCCATTATAATTCTGAGGGAATCCTTATATGAGACTGGAGAAAATGTCTCATTGTAATCTATCCCCTCTCTTTGTGTAAAACCTTTCGCCACAAGTCGTGCTTTAAACCTTTCTATATTCCCTCTAGAGTCATATTTTGTTTTGTAGACCCATTTACAACCTACTGTTTTGGCTCCTTTAGGAATTTGTTCTAAATCCTAAACACCATTGGAACTCATAGATTCCATTTTATCTTTCATAGCTTTCAACCACTTTGATGAGTGTTCGCTTCTCATGGCTTCTTCATACGAGGTGGGATCACCCACCATATGAAACTCTTCGGTATTATAGATTTCATAACCATCAGAAATAGCTGATCTTCTAACTCTTTAAGACCTTCTAAGGGCCTCCACATTTGGCACATTTTCTGTTTGAGGCTGTTGTTGCTCCCCCTCATGTGTGGCAATAGGTTCTGTAGGATTCTGAACCATGGGTTCCTCATCCTCATTCGTTGTTGCCATAGGAGGAATAACAACAGGTGCTGGCACCACAACATCTTGCATTGTAGGTTTAGCAGCAGCAGGTAGCTCGAAAAATGGCTCCTGAACTATCGGAGTGGGTGCATACACCCGTTTCTCCTCAAGATCAATTTCTCGAGCTACCATGCTCCCCCTCATCATTTCATCCTCTAGGAAGACAGCGTGTCTTGTTTTTATAAACTTTGTATGTCTATCTGGACAATAGAAATAAAAACATTTTGACTTTTCTGGGTAGCCAATGAAATGGCAACTTACTGTTTTGGGATCTAACTTCCTAATGTTTGGGTTAAATACTTTAGCCTCAGCAGGACTCCCCCACACACGTAAGTGGTTTAGTGAGGTACTCTTTCCCGTCCACAACTCATACGGTGTTTTGGGCAACCGACTTACATGGTACTCTATTGAGAATATGAATGACGGTTTTTAACGCCTCCATCCACAAAGGCTCAGCGGTAAGGTGGAGTAACTTATCATACTCACGCACCATATCCATTAGGGTGCAGTTACGTCTTTTCACTATTCCATTCTCATCGAGGTTCGCTTGGGTGTTGTTGAATCGGGCGACTATACCATTCTCTGTAAGAACCTTGCAAAAGGTCTAGGAACTTGTCCATATGGGGTATCTGACCACCATACCCCCCCCCGCAGTCAGACGACTATCTTAATCTTTAAATCATGCTGATTTTCAACTTCTACCTTAAATATTTTGAATTTATCCAACGCTCTCGTTCTTTCTTTGATTGGATAAATGTAGCCATAACGGAGTAATCATCGTGAATGTTATGAATGAATCAAAACCATCCACACTCTTTTTCTGAGAAAAGGGACCACGAGATGTACGTGTGTGAATAATTTGTAGAATTCAAGCGCCGCTTGACATCTTTCTTAATTTTCTTTACATACTTTCCTTTTATGCAATCTCTACA